TTTGGATTTCCTCAATAATTAATTTGTTTATAGACTTAAAAACTTATTCACTATAATTTTTATTATTTTGCAGATGAATGAGCAATATGGGATTGATAGCATTGCACCAATGCTTACTGACATTGAATACCCACTAATGACTAACAATCAGTTCCCACTAACCATACAAAATGAAATATATCAGTTCTAACGTTTGCTCCATCAATTTATTAATAAGTAGGAATAATGAATGTGTACGAGCGATGTAATAAGAGTGTCTCGGTGTGTTGAGATGTCGTGAGATGACTAAGTGATGTTTCATTTACTTACTTTAACAAATGTTGCTATATAAGTTACTGCCTCTATATATATTTATATATAGCTCATTATGTTGTAGTAGAAATATCGTGTGCTAACACTAAAGATTAAACTTACCAGATTTATTAATTCTATGAATGTATACATCAAATTTAGTATCGGTGAAAAAATAATTCAAAACATTAAATTTAAATTCATTGTGAATAATTAGAAATAAATTAATCCAGAAAAAAATTGAATATTAATATTTTACATTTTCCAAAATTACATTTTTTTGAAGGTACTAGTTTACATTTTTTGAAGGTGCAGATTTACATTTTACACTAAATAACTCATTTATGGCCGCTTCACAATCTTCTAATTTATCTTAAACCTAAACTTCTATCATCCCAATATCATGCTAACAAAAATTTATATATGTGTGTTTGAGCAACATTATTTTTGAAGAATGTATTTTGGAATAGTAGATTAATGGAGAATGTGTGGTTAAAAAATAAGAAAAAATTTTAAATTTACATATAGTATTATTTTATTGAAGAATGTGTGGTAAAAATAATGTCAAATCACTGATTAAGAATGTATTTTCTCAAAATAATGGGATTCAAACAAGGCCATATGAAATTTTGAAATAATTAACTACTCCTCAATCATTAACTGCTCCATAAATTACCTGTTAAAGAACAATTCGTAATCAAAATTTCCAAAAGCATTTTGTTAAGCCCTCGTTTGCCTCCCATTATTTGAAATTGTAATGGTTGGAATAGTGTTTTTTTTAAGAATATTCAGAGAAAAAACGAGAAAAGGTTTTGAGATTACATGTAATATTATTTTATTGAAAATGTGTGATTGATAAAAAGAAAGAGAAAAATGAATTATAATTAGTAAGATTTTATTAAGGATCTAAATTATAATTTTCAAATTTAATCTGTGCATGAACTAAATTTTCAAATTTAATCTGGATTTGAACTAAAGTTCTAGTAGAGGGAGACCATATATTAATATGAGTACGTCTTGGTTACTTGAAGTTTAAAATTTGTACACCAACTTGTTTGTAGTGCTATGAGTGATCGAAAGAAAGTAATTGAGTATTTCTAACTTCTAAGCATATGTTTCTATATTGGATAATTATATTACCACCATAAAATTTACTTGTTACACCACAATTTTATCATTTAATTAAATGATCCTAAATAAAATTACTTAATTAACCACACTTTTAAATTTACCTTTTAACATAAACAAATTTCATAGACACCACAGTCATTAAATTAACAAATTTGTCCACTATTTCCTTTGCGGCGTGCTAATTCTTTAAATGAATATCGCTTTTGGCAAATCCTTACAAAAATAAAAAATAAAATAAAATAAAAAAACATCACTCTATCCAAGAAGTCAAGAACATAAATTGTGGTTGCTATATTATGCGTTCAACCAGAATCGAGCTATCGATCATTGATAATAGATGTTTTGCATTCACTCATCCCCCTTGTTCCCATGGAGCTTGGTTGCATGCTCAGACGTGCAAAATTGGCGACTCATGCAGTCACCACAATGCCTTCCAACAACTAATTCTATCAAAGTGCAAATCTATTCAGTTGCAATTCCTGCACGAATCATTCGTTCATTCCTAAGATGACACACTCTCATTAATTTGTAAATTGAGATAAGGCTGGTAAACTTAAATAGATTTGATAATTTCTTCTTATAGTCATAGCATGTGATGAACAATAAAAAAAAAAAAGCATACCTCTAATGGTTGGTAAAACTTGACTAGAAGCCATGGGAGATCAATAAAGAACCAGCAAATTACATAGAAAACGAGATAGGGAGACTAGGGTTCTTTTGAATCCAATTCTTCAATCTTGTTCGCTCGATTCACCCACCAAAGAAAGCTTATATATTTATATACAAATCTAAAAACCCTTTTGGTGGCCCAAAAGCCCAATGGGTAGGCTTGGGCAAGAAAGAAGAATGGACCCAAGGACCCAAAGCATAGCAAGTAGTATAATGTTGTTCATCCTATAAATGGCCTAAAATGTCAATTGTCACTATATTATGTTAGTCCACAAAATTAATCCAACATTCTCCCACTTGGATTACATAATCTTAATACAAATGCTTTCATAACAACATACATAATCAAAACTAATCACACATAACCAACACAACAATAGGATGCATAGAATATATATTGTTGACCACCGAACTCCGGTCACATAAATTGTCATTCGTAGGCCCCACTCTAGTAGATGTGAGTTCGGTCATAAAAGTTCATCACAGCATTCCACCGTCGTCATCTCAAGAAGACGTCATGATTAACTCTTGTCACATCACCCTCTTAATCACATACACTTGTAAAAGATGATGTCATCACCACCCAAAATCGCCAATCTGAGACCTCAAGCCTTCAAATCATTTGTAGGCCATCATTGTCTGAGAAAAACATTGAGACACGACCATCGGCCTCATCAACCAATCACAGGAGAAATTCTCGACCCGAATTTCGAGCTCAATCCTATTCTTGATTTGATTGATTTGATGTAATTTCGGTTGTAGTCATGTATAAATAGTAGAGAAACAGTTTTGTAAAGAGGAAGTGGACTTTCACACAAACTCTCCATACAATTAAGTCTTCTTGATATGTAAATGCAATTTTCATAATAATAAGGGAAATCGCCCATCTTTCTTAAAGTTGACTCGAGATTAACCCCTACAACTTTTGACGTCAACAGTTTGGTGTTGGAAGGAGTGTTACATTCTGAAAAATAGCCCCATTCTCTTCACAAAAATCGAGAGTCATGAGTCATAGCTCCAGCACTAGAGATCCATCTCATACTCGTCCTCATGAAACTAATACCCCGCTCAGTTCCCCAACGCGACAAGACCAAAACCGAACTAACGATTTGCAAATGACTGCTATACGAGAAGCCCTGGAAAAGTTGACAAATGTAGTTGACCGATTGGAACAAAACCAAGCCCACTTATCCCCACCAGACACCGAGGTGGAATCCCTAGTGAGAACAAGGGCTAGACGTCCCCACACCAGGAGGACCCTCCACTTCTCACGAAGAGAACCTTCTAAAAGTCGAACTGACAAAGTCAGGAGCTAGGCCCCTGCAACGGTGTTCGTCGCTAGGAAAGCTGGCAGTGTGTTCGATAGGTTGGGAACTCAGTACTCGCTAACCCCTACAGAAGACATGCTGAGCCCGACCTAAAAACATCATCTAAAGTAGGCAGAACCCGAGATGAGTGCCCTAAAAAGATGCATAGCCAACCTGGAGGCTAAAAGCAAAGGTGGAACTGAATACTACTCCACTAAGCGATGTTTCCCCTTCACCGAAGATATCATTATCGAACCATTACCTGAGAAATTGAAGATTCCACCGATGACCGCATAGGAGGAGAGGAGAATCTTCTTAACTACCTTGATAAGTACACCTCGTGGATGGAACTGCAAGGGACGAGTGATGCCATCATGTGTCGGGCTTTTCCCTTGACCTTGGGGGATAAAGCTTAAAGATAGTTTAGGAGATTTCATCAGAGATCAGTAAAAAATTGAAACGACCTAGCCACAGCATTCCTGGCCCAGTTCATAGGCTCCAAGGCTAGGACTACGCCCAAGGAGCGGTTAGCGAGCATCAAGTATGGAAAAAGTGAGTCCTACAAAAGCTATCTAAGCAGATTCAACAAGCATCCATGGAAGTGGAAAAGATATCCGATGACGTCGTACTCATGGCTGTGCTCGATGGGCTAAGGCCCTGAACAAGATTTTAATGGTTGGTACATGAGGACAGACCTAGAACTTACCACGAGCTCCTGAATCGAGCCAAGAAATACGTAAGTGCTGAGGAGGTGACCTCTAATCAAGAAGAAGCCAGACATGATCCTGACCTCAGCAATACGACCAAAGAGAAAAGGCCAGATAGGAATCTTCAACCCGAAAAGAGGAAAGATAAGACAGAAAGAGATCATCTTAAGACTCAACCATGCAGATTTCGAGAATATCACCCACTGAAGTCTACCTTAGAGGAAATATTCCTACAAGCTACTGAGAAAGAAGCATTTCGCAGGCCGATGGTCCAGAAGTACGGGCAAGAAAGACACCACCAAGGACGATACTGTCGATATCACAATATGGCTGGACATGACACAGACAGTTACCAAGAGTTGAAAGAAGAAGTTAAGTCCTTGATTCATAGAGGACGATGCAAGAGTTCGTTGCCAAACTAAAAGAGGTAGACCGACCTCAACCACAATAGCCTCCTCAGCAAGGGCCTACCACACGAACACCGCAGACAGCTCCTAACCGTAACCCGTCCCCAAGAGCCAAGATCAGAATGATGGTAGGGAAAAATTAGTATATTGAAGGGTCCAGAAGGGCAAGGCACAGACAAGCGAGGGAGGCACGAATCATGCTGACCTACGAAGAACGAACCCCACAATCGGTATAGATCCTGAATGGTTCTGGTTTACAGAGGAGGATTCCCAAGGGATCCTCCAAGATCAGAGTAATGCTTTAGTAATCACCATGCCAGTAACCGGGGTGAAAGTGCATAGGACGCTAGTAGACAACAGAAGCTCGGCCAATATACAATACTAACTCATCTTAAGATAAATGGAAATATCAGAGCGCTCCCTTCAGCCTTACCAGAGAAAACTGCAGGGGTTCTCCGGAGATCCCATCGAGGCCCAAGGCCAAATTGTCCTCATTGTAGAACTAGGCGAAGCTCCTCGCTAAAGAAAGATTCTAGCTAATTTTGTGATAGTCGACCTACCATCCAATTACAGTACCATATTGAGAGGGTCTATATTGCACAAACTGAAGACTGACACGTCAATTTATCACTACTGTATGAAGTTTTCCACTTTCTACAGGACTGGAATTGCGCGAGGAGACCAAGCAGAAGATAGGGCATGCAATATTGACTGCCTGAACCTCGGATAAACATGTTAAGGGGCAAGCCAAATGCACGAACTATGGAAGCTAGACTAAAAGAACCCATTGTCACAAATCTCTCCAAGATCGGCATAACAAGGAAATACCTCAAGAG